CTGCTAATAACTACTCACTGACACAAATGATTCTTTCGATGGGGGCAATTTAGACCAAACAAGAAAACTGACACAATATTATAAAATGTTATAAAAAAATAAGCCTAAATGTCACTAAAATACATTAAAATACTTGCTCCTATCTAAGATTTTACGTTTAAATATGAAATCACCCATTAATCTATTAAATTGTAGCAAATATTCAGTAAGAAAAAAAATCATAAACATATTTTACATCAACTAACTTCTCTATGTGAATTATCAAACTTTAATGAATAAATGTGTCACACGAGGATCGGATAAATTACACTCGAAAACGACTTAAACTGTTGACAGTGTATACAATTTCTTTAATTTTGTTTTCATATAACATGCAAATTTTCGTCACAACCACTTAACAAGCAAAAATTACGCTAGAAACCTCTGGGCGGAATGTACTGATAAAGATTTACAATGTGAAAAAAGTGGAATAGTTCGTTTAATTCCCATTTAATGAAATTCTAGTAAATTTTAGGTATACTAGCTATATAATTTAGTTACACTTGATGACAGGGTTTGCTCGTATAATAGCGCCCTGTATCTGATAATTTTAATGTAAAACGATAGTAACTTTTAAAAAAACTTTTTCTGTCCCATCTGATATCGATATCAGTATAAATAACGCGTTAATGATAACATTACAAATTCGCATAATCTGATTTGAATCTGATTGTTGTTTTTTATTTAGGGACTCGTACTAAAACCCGTATTCGCATTTTGCATTCCGTTATGTTCCGTTTATTAATGTTTTTCCGGAGCATCCTGGCGGTTTTTAATATTACTCTCTATATGTCTGTAGCTTGAATGTTGTTTTTTTATTCTGTATTTTGGTGCATTAATATTTGTATGATTATATTCAAGTTAGATCACAGATCAAAAAATTTAAGATTAAGTAGATATGGATTAAACGGTTAACCTGTTAAAAGTAACACTAAACTCAAAATTAGATTAAACTGTATATCGATTTACAACGATTTTCCAAGAGAATTTTTTTTAAAGAAGATAATGTTCTTCATGAACTAGTTAAACATTTCCGGCAAGTTTGAAATCAAACATGACTGAGTATATAAATCTAATTTTCCAGTTGCAAAACAGAAATTTCTTGACATAGGCTATTTATTTATCAATCAATTTTGATAGGTCATAATTTAAAGCTTTCAAACATAATAAATAAATAGATCGCTTGAGAAATTCCTTGAAGTCTTCGAGTGATAGTTCTTTGTGCCAGGCCCGGTGTAATAAAAAGACTACCATGTTTTTGGTTTTGCATTGATTTGAATGTTTCTGCGCATGCGTCTTATATTTAAATTAACAGTAAAACCTACGGTGTTGTTTATTATGCCAAAAATTTTACTCTTTATCGGTCTCATGTTCTTTTTTTGAAGTGTGATTATTTCGTTAAGATATTTGTCAATTCTACCCAATAAAAGCATTGTTTCAAACAGACGATAAGATAGATTATTGACTCCCGGTTTGTTATAATTTAACCTCCATAGCCATTACATCATAAAAAGAACATAACTAATATTCACAGCTCAAAAAACGCATTGATAGACTTCATATATTCCGAAAATCATGTAATCACCGCGTCTTTAAAATCTAACGCCACTTACTTCGATAATAAATTTAAACACAGCGATCAGATTTTATAACTTTTAAGATAGGCAATACAAGCAAATGATGATCTTAAATAGGGCCATAAACTGACAGTTATCATTAGATGTATAATTGTTTAATTCTTATTTAATGTGCTATTTATGCTTTAAGAGTGATGCATGCTTTTCAACTCATAAAGATTCAGCACTCGAGATGCGGTGTAATTTTAAAACTATTTTTCTTACATTAAAACTTGGCTTAATGATATGTATCCGCCAATACGTTAGATAACAATTATGCATAAACGTAGAAAACGAAATTCATCTATTAGAAAAACTAATCACAGAATATGTAGGGAGAGAAAATTAACTGAAATTGCATGGGAATGCCAATAGACGGAACATTTTAGCTCGGTTTCACGACTACTTTTATCATATAATTATGTGCCTTTTTCAGAAAGTTTTCAAATCTATTTGCTTCCCTAATTATTTCTATTTTTGTTTGGGAACTTTTTTGTTTGTTTCTTTATTACTTGTTTGTCGTTGAAAATAGAACCTGCACTGTATGTAATCCCCATAGTAAGCTCTTGCATCGGACAGTGAATTAAAATGGCATCGTATACAGAGTATGTAGACTGAACGGTTCTTTATTCCTAGCTTTTTTTGTCTTACGCATAACGCGCATGCGCAAAATGTTACTTCCGTTACTAAGGGAATGATCTAAACGGGTCTATAGGCAAGGCATTATCATCGCTTGTATTCAAATACAATTTGCAAAAACGAAAATATATCAAATAGGTATACATTGATACAATGATATCTGTTGGAACATCAGATTCTTTAAATGTATGACACTAAAGCTAACGAGGATAGTGATTGGAATATGACACCGCACATAAAATTTTAGATTAAGCCGGGTTTTTTTTATTCAAATTCTTAAAGACACACACCAACTTCTAATAATTATTTGACCCAATCATTAGTACACTAGATTTATAAAGAAGTTCATTGCTTACTTTTTTACAAAGAAGTTCTTGATTACTAAGATATAAAAGCACATAGGTATAGTAACACTTTCGTTTTGTGCTATAGTATATTTCATTTGCCATCAAACGTTTGAAGAAGAAATTGGAAAACTGCAGGTCGTGGTAATTCTTTTATTTAAGTCATCTTTACTTGCTTTCTTGGTTGAATGTTTGTAAAAAAAAACATTCTTAACTACGGGTCAAAGGTCATGTAGCTCAGGACGTCTTATCGTATCATCTCTTTTATCACGGCCAATTTTACAATTAGTGTTTGGATACAAAAACGAATTAACAACAGAGGGATACGTTAGTACTTGGAACCACTCCAACATTTCTTAGTATACAATGATCTATGTAAATTTTAGAATTGTCTGCAGTTTACAGTTAACGTACTCTGTGTGGGAAAATGACGTTTTTGAATTCCGAATCCACTAGTTAACTTAATGTACCTCTTTTTTATTAGTAAAATCTAACCGTTTTGAAATCCACAAGAAATACATAGATAAGATACTGGACCGTTTTTAATACATTATTTAAATGCTTTTTAACATGTTGAAGAATCACTGAGCGAATTCTGAAGAAAAGTTGGTCCGTTAGAGAAGTCACTTGTCAAATATTATCTATTTTATCCGTCCAGGTTCGAAACCTAGAGAGAAACTGTTAAAACTGTACCAGAACTTTGTTCCCTTCGAATAATTGGCTTGTTTTTCGATCTATATGTAAGGAAAGTTTTGAAAGTCGGTTTAAAAAAATTGCAAAATTATTTTAGGTTTGTAGATTTTTTTTATCTTTTTTTTTTTTAGAAAAAAGTCAACGACCTTTAGCAGTCATTTACAAATTTTAGCATACCAGTCTCTTTCATTTGTTAATTTTTTTACTAAATAAAATTGACTTGTAATTTTTTGTTATCAAAATACGTTAAAAATGAATTTGCATTTTGTATAAAGAATGTAAAAATGTTAAAAGAGGGGGTATATGAGTTATGACAACATTATAGATAGGGATCTATTACTCAGCAAATAAAAATAAGAAATCTGTAACATCAACGATTTGACACTTTTTCTTTTCATAATTTAAACATTATCCTTGTTTCCCATTATCTTTTTTTAGTTTGTGACACTCTCGAATTTTATAAACTGATTTTGTATAAATGTTGTTGAGTTATGATATAATAATTATATATATACATGTATGTATATTATATTAAAGGAACCCCACTGAGGTACAAAAACCGAAATATAAAATTTAATTTCTCACATAGATCAACTGGAGCACTTAAAACACAAACATATGCAAAAGACAATAAAAATATACTAAGAAATATATTGAAAATTTTATTTTGGTGCTATTATTAGCCCGATTTGAGTGAAAAGCGTTGCAACGCATTATGGAAAAATGAAGTGAGCGAATGATCTGGAATTTTGCTAACAAGTTATTGGTTGATACCTACATCAACTGGAACATTTTCAATTTCGTCATGTCAAAAAACCTCAGTTGAGTTCCTTTAAAACGTGATGATTTTTATGTGCAGTATTGAAATAAAGAACACAAGATTTTATACTTTATGCATGTGTTCACTGTATAATATTAAAAAAGTTGATTAAACCGAATAAGTTTTAATATATTTGTTAAATCTGTTATTGATATTGTGTTTGCTGTTTAACAGTCAGTTTGACATTCAAAATAAAGTTTTGCCTAAAATCCATTTTTGTGGGGGGTATACTAATTAATATAAGACAAAGAGTACGCATCAGGTAGAAAAAAGATACGGGTTCTGCAATATATCCAGGGTAACCGGTTTTTAATTAAAACCAATTTTCATTTCAATCTGTATTTTTGGTTTGTGCACGATATAATGATGGAGAGGGGAAAAACGTTATATCTGGATATTTAAAAATAGATAGAAAGTTTTGGCATGCGTTTAAACATACTTTGTTTTGCAAAAAACGTGGCTTCACAAGGCAATTTTTCTTATTTATTCTCCGCGAATGTTTTTTGGAAAAGTTTTCAAATATAATTGTTTAACGAGCAAAATAACCCAGATGTTAATTGTCAGAAATAAATGTTGATATATTGACATCTCTGTAAGCTTGAATTGCGTTTAACTGATTTATATCCCCCAATAGAAATGTCAAAATTAGAATAATAAACAAATAATATACATGTATGTATTAACAATCATGGGCATATAAAAGCTTGACAGTAATTCTGATAGGGATAAGGGGATTATTAGGGGCCGTATTGAGCGATAATAACCAAAAATGAAATAACAGCTAAGTATGAGGCCAATATATTTGGTTATCTTAATTAAAATTACAAAGTAAAATATACATGTACTTACAGCCATCTGATACCCGTGCAAAAGTCCATCCACAAAAGTACAGTTAGCACAATCCGCACGATGCTCGTGCTTACATTTAGCTGCATCTTTTTCTCTCTTTAACAACCGTTCCAATTTGTTACTTTTTTAAAAACAGAATCAGAACACTTTCAGTGGTAAATAATAAAATCCCCTGTTGTTGTTTTTCCTTCTTTTTTCTCTTTTCCTTCACGATGGATGTTCTTTCGTCCACAAAACACACATGCACAACTAAACCTATCAGTTTGATCTGAATAAACTGAAATAATGCTTAAAACTATATGGTTAAGTATTGATATTTGATCACGCAACCGTGCAATTGACTTATTACATTAAATAAATGTCTAATTAAAATCGCATGCATTTCCTTTCAACACTTACACGATAAACAATTTTTACCACTTCGAGGTGTGAACGCCTCTATTTCTGACCGTTTTCGACGGGCTCTGACTTAAGAATGACAGATGGTTAAAATACCGACATAAGTCTAACCGAACGGCCCCATTCTTAGCCGCAGATGTGGTTTAATGAAACAATTGAATTTTATAAGTATTTCACACAATAATTCCCCAAATCTGATTAATTCATTAGAAGATTCGCTTCCTTGTAAAAAATTTCGGGAAGTCTGCTCGCAATTTCCAGATAGTTTCAATAATGACTTAATCTAACATCAAAAACTTTATGAAAACAGACTTTAACACTTGCACAGTTTTTTACAATTCCAGATTGTTATTTTTGTGTGTCCCGTGCATGGCCATGTAACCCCCAGTGCTCGGGTAATTTTCATTCTCTCCGGTTCACGTAAGTTTCAAATTGCATAATTTCCTGATTAACTCAATCCCTGCTGTTGGTACATAAAAATATCATAAATTAATAAACACTCTTTTTTCTGCACGTTAATTCCTTATTATTAAATTCATCCAAAATTGAGAATTCATTCATATTTTGCGTGTGTGGTTGAATATTATTTTACTATACAAAAGATCAAAATCCAGACCCATGCTATATTTTATATCAAAACAAGTGTAATTATATAAAAAGTACAGAACAACTTTCATTTCAAATAAAATTCACCACAAAAATCCATCAAAACTCGCATTATTGTCACATTTGTTTCTTTCGTTTTATATTTTCTCCCTGTTTTCAATTTTCACAATTCATTCACTGAAGAGAATTCTTAAAATAAACGATAATATATTACTTTGAACTCAAACTGATATATCATTAGATTTATTGAACTTAAACTTTACCGATCTTGTTATTCCTTTTCAACTTAAGAAAGACATGAAGAAGAAAAAAAACGAAAAAAAAATTTTTTTCACTCCGCAGATTACAAGTGATTGTTACTGACAATTTGTTCTCACGGGACACCGCCCGAACACTTGAACTAATTTTCGCGTTAAAATAAGATTTTCAGACAGACTTGGTTATTAGTTTGTTATTAGTGTTTTTAAATTTCCGTTCATCATAAGATTGCGAATTTTGAACCAGGTTTCGAGTGATGTTCAAATTGCCGATGGCTGATTCTTTTTTTTTTATTTTTTTTTTATCTCTCTTTCACTTTTTTATCAGCAACCGTTGATATGTATTATTAAAAAGAGATTATCCTTACTGTTTGCAACAACAACAACAACAAAACATTTATTTTATATGATCTTGAAGATGCTTCGTCTAGAAGATGATGTCACATTATTTTCCATATTCACTTCACAAGCGTTGTTTATAAAAACATTTCTAGATCACACATTTTTAGATATGTAATTATTTTACTTGATTATGTATTTATTAAATAAACTTTCCGAACTTGCTCGTCTGTCGTCTGCTAGAGGTGAACTGGTCGTCTGCAAATAAAGATAATACAGATTTAAAGATTGGCAACTGCAATAAATGTTTACGACTTTTCGACCAATGTTTAAAGATAGGGGGTTCGAAACTTTACCGCTGGCAAATCATAAAATCACTGTACATAACAATGGCCCTGCGCTGTTTGATTTATGAATGATAAATTTTTGTTGTTACATTGTTTAATAAAACCGCCCGACAAAAAAGACATGAGAGTTATAAAATTTTATCTTCTGTTAAACGGTGTGATAAAATTTGATTTTAAAGGCTTGAAAAACAGATAAACGATTTGCCTGATCCTGTATGTATAGGTATATATTGTACGATATGTACAAAGCGGATTACTGCATCAAATTTAGAAGTGCTTGCCTAAAAATATCCGACATGAAACTTTTACAAATTTACAATCAAATATACAATAAATATATTTGATACATTTAGATAGATATGAATGAACAGATTTTGAACAAAATGTCGCGCGGTGATTACTACACACAAACCAATATACATGTGCGGACGCTACCCGTTTTTAACAATTTTACAAAAACTGTATGAACACTTCTATTTGAATAATAAATAATCACACTGTACATTGCAAAATCCATATAAAATTCCAAAATTACGTGTAAGGTGAAACATTCAATCTATTCCGCAGAAAACTCTGAGAACCGCTCCAAACAGTCATTTACATAGCGGCGCTTGGTAATAAACAATCCATGACTCCTCCCTTTCACCAGCAAACGTTCATTCACCGAGATCAACTATTATCGTTTAGCTGCAGACGACAGTTGCGAATTTCGCGCTAAATATCTTTCTTATTGAAAATTTCGACGATTACAATAAAATTCGATGAAACCATTAATTTAGGTCTGCTAAAATTTTAGTTCTTGTTTGTCAAATGTGTTCAGCCGTAATAAGTTAAAAAGATAGCTTCTTCTGTTCTGTGAAAGGCCGTAGAAATAAAATACCCCCTTTTTGTTAAATCAGACACATTTTTTAAAAGATTTTCCTCTTTAAACTTGGGATTGATTATAAAAAGACATGTTAAAAGTGTCAAAAGTGTTTATCTAATACTTTTCTGAGGGACTCCAAACTGGCCTGTAAACTATTTCATTTAATGTTTAAAAAAGTTCCTAGCGTGAATAAGCTATGTACATAAACAATTAAGGAATGTTCTTTCAGTAACGTTTCAGATAAAACGTCAATTTAACACGTCACGTGTCTGTAAAGGTAGACAATCTTCAAGTTTTAAAAATTTAATTGCTTTCTTTGGAGTTTAATTGTCGAGTATACATTATGTTTAAAAAAGATATCAACACCTTTGATCCGATAAAAAGTGCGAAATTATTTAACTAGTAACACGTGTGTGTGTTTGCACAACAATGAAAGAGTCGTATGTTTAAATATTTGTTGTTATTGTAGCGTGCTTTTTTTTCAGAGGCCGATTTTTTATAAAATGAATAATTCATTAAAAACATAATAAACTATTTTTCTTCCCTATATTTTTTTATTTTTTACCCCCCCCCCCCATCTCCCCTTTGACCAACTTTCAACGTGTGAGTTACGGCGAACAATTTAGTTTATATTCTAATTTATGCAATATACGATTGTTAAGTCACTTTGACGACGTTTTAAATCAAACCTCGCTCTTTTACAAAGTTGATACACCGGGCGTTTGATGTCATTTGAACAAAACAGGGACTTGACCTATGGCGGGTTCAAAATCGTTTGACATATTTGATAAACAGTTAAAATCTACGCTCACAAATTTTATTTTAAACAGTAGTCAAAATTATGTGCTTGTCCGTTTTGATATTCACGAAGTATTCCCAAGGTGTTAGATTCAAGCGAAAAATTCTCTAAAATTGTCGAAAATATATCTGACATTACTCTAGTAAAATAAGAAAGAACTGGACTGGCTGTAGGATTTTTCGTAATGCCAATATTGTACTATATTTTCATTTTATAAATAAAAAAATCTAAAAATCAATATTATATTTTTTTGTCATAGTGGCTGTATATATAATGAACATCTTCCAAGCTTAAAAGAAAAAAAGGTCCTTGTAGAAAATAAAATGTTAAGACTTTCCCTGCTGTTACTAAATGTGGACAAAACTTGAATTTACAGACAAAACATCCCTTCGTGAGGATAAAAAATGGTAAATTAAGAAAATTTTATCAGAAAGAAATTAAGGAAAAGACAGTGAAATTTGTAGAATGGCCATAAACAGTTTGGGGACAACCTGGGTAAAAGGAAGTTCGGGAAAAAATGTTAGAAAACATATTTCAAGTTTTCTTATTAAGCATTATATATTTCAAACTGTAGCAAAGGCTTTAATTATCGGGGTCTGTGGGGGTAGGGTCTGTAGGTAAATAGGCCTTTAGGTTCTTATTCTTTGCGTTAAAATATTAACAACAGTTTTAACATAAATTACAATTATATAAATACTTATAAAAACGTTTATTTACACGACGCGCCTGTCTAACTAACTTTTCAGTCTATAAATTGTTGAAACGTTGGTTTTTTTCAAAAGCCACCCAAAATCTTAAAGAAAAAATATATGAAGAAAAAAGACATCATATTAAAATCAATTTAGTTTATTGCTCACTTAAGACTTATCACTTTTATCGCCATTTAAAATATTTTTGTTGAAAATCTGTGAAAAGAAAAGGAGACGAATTTCGCTTGATTAAAACCCGCACTCCGTACTAAAAATGTCACGTGCGTATTTAGTACGGTAAATTATGCTCCTAATCAAATCTCGGCGGTAGATTGTGATCAGCTACTTATAGTTTTGTCGGAAATTTATAGGGTCAAGTCATGGGTTTATTAAAGATGGCTAGATATACCGGAGAATAAAATTATCATAAATTCCTATTTTTCAAACAATAAAATATAATCGGTAGGTATAAATAAAGTTTACATATAAATATATCTGTCAGAACGAGATTTACAAAAACGGCGGAAATGAATATTATTAAGTCTTTATAGTAAGATGTAAAAAAAATGTTTGAAATGTCGGCAAAACTTGCCAGTAAAATTTCTATGAAAAAGTACTTCCGAAAGTTCAATTCGTGAATGTTTGCGTTTTGTTTTTGTAATGCTTTCCCTAAACAACTCAATTCGTTAATTTGCCAGCACATTTTAAATTTAAGACAATTCAATTCGTTAATTTGCCAGCACATTTTAAATTTAAGTAAATGTCAATATTTGAACCAGAATTAGCTCAACAACTGGCATTTTACTTTTGGAATCAACATCTACGTTTGATTGTATTTGACCGATTTTGTAAAAAAAAGTTTTTATCCAGCATCAACCCTAGCTGGGACCAAAAAATATATCGGGACGGGCTATTACAGGAATAAGCGCGTTATTTTTGGTCCCAGGCCCAAGCACATCGTCCTGCGTCAAGTAACCTAACCATTCATCTGCCGGTGAACCCTTCATCTGCCGGTGATAAGCCTTTAGGCAGCCGGTACATCCGGGCACTTTGACCAGGCTAGCTCAATTTGGTTTTCAGTATTAAAATTCCTTAAAGACACATTATGCCTCAGAAACGAATATTTTTTACGTTTTCAGAAAGTGCAAACATTAGTTTTATAATGTGTAAATAATGTGTTAAGAGAATGTTTGATGCTTGTTACCTGAAGAAAGTAGTTCTAAATGTGAAATAATTTGTCATAACAGTTGCAAAATGTAACCAAATAGTATTTTGACTTCCATACAAAATACTACATATCTATAACTGTACTTATTGCCAAAAAGCAATAGAAGAAAAAGACGCTTCGGGTAAACTGACCATTTGGTGGCGTTTTGGAAAATGTAAAAGCACACTAAAAAAATAAGCTTTTGAGAAATAGAAAAATAAAATGAGATCTACGACACAATGGGCCTTTAAACTGCTTGCAAAACCCGCAAGGTAAAGACACGAATTCATTATATTCAGGATCAAATGTAAAATTGGTAAAAATTATTTTAATTCTTTTAAACAACATAATTATTATAAACTTTTTCATTTTTGTTACATGTAGATCTATGCAAAGTGAGATGGGTTATGATCCAAATTTATTGCTATTTTTATTCGACTCGTGACCTGAAATTTTCTGTACGGCATTTGCGATTTATTTGACGAGACCGCCGTACGTTTATCAGTCTATAATTACAAATGAAACATTCTTGCCTAGAATTGTGGCAAGTTGTTCAACAAAGCTGGTGTAACCTCGTATATTACGTCATAGTAGAACGACTAAAATGCCACTTGCAACCAATAGAAAATTCCAAACAATTTCTTGTCATCAAACAAAGCCGAAGTATTCCGAAACGTCAGCGTTCATTATCTCTCTACTGGGGATACCAACGAATCCGAAGGGTTCCGTAATCAGCGTTCCTATCTCATTAATATCGACAAAGAATTTCAGAAATCCGACAAGGTGTGAATGAATCCTGAAAGTCATTTTCAGCGCAACATGTTTGACATACATCTTTTTCGACTGTAGTTTATCCAGTGCGACAGAATATACAGTTCTCTCTCTTGTAACTTTTTGATGATTTTCCGGTGAAATGTGAAGAAGAATATTATGAGAAATATGGGTAAACGTTTCCGTTTAATTCTTACCCTTTGCTTAATTGGTAAAATGACATTGTCCTGTGATGAATTTGGAACTGGCCATTGTAACTATAAAAGATTTTAACAAAAAAGAAACGAAAAGAAATATCAACAAAAAATTTCAAAAAACAACAACTTCCCAACAATAGGCCTACAGAGACTGGTTGGAATGCACATTTAGATATATTGGCAGTACGTGTAAATTGTATACAATTTAACACATACATACACACGAGAAGTATAGGGCGGGGGTCGGGTTATAGTCACGCCGACACTGTTCGGGCCATATGGCGACTGTTTTAGGTGTAGAAGAAGAGGGACCTCGTACCTTCTCCATGAATTATTTCAGGCACGAGCGGACACCTGAGTCGAACCACTAACCTTCCATACGCTAGCTGGATAGCTTTATCACAGGAAAAACTTCAAAGTCCCTTGCAGGTATCGAACCCACAAACGGTAGGAGCAGATTGTTCTGAGTCAGCGTCCATTATCTTTTGACCATTGATACTCCTGGTTGTCTTTTTTAATTTTGCATATGACATTTGGACAAAACCCTAGTTACCCCTGCTTAATTTCTTAAGTGGACTTTTCCAGCTTCCATCTTATTTGAACTGTCCTTTACCAACTTTGGAGATTTTAAAGTTTGTCAGCCAGCAGTAAAGAACCCGGTGCGACTGCAAAGGTGTGCAGGCTGGCCTTGTTTTGTACTGGTCGCAGAAACCAATTACTTTTGGTTCCATAATTGTTACGTGGACATATTTTCCACATAGGTTTTACGAATAAGAAGTCAGTATGGGCCTTTAAAAGATGTTTTGTCTGGTTCTCTATTGGTGGCAAAAACTCAACCCTTAAACAATTACCTTCGGTTCTATAATTGTTACGCGGACATATTTCCTTATAGTTTTAACAAATAGTATGGGCCTTTAAGATTTTTTTAAAAACAATTTAAGTTCTTAGGGAATGGCATGGGCCGTCATTAAACGCTGTATGCTTTTACGAATCACCAAAAAAACCGGAAACATTTAAAAACATCTGAAATCATCGTATCAATTGTTGAAAATGTCAGCACGGGAGTGGATTGTGCACATTCCTGGTGGTATAATTTATTATAAAATGAATATTTGCTAGGTTAAGATTAAAATGCGCTTTACTTAAAACAAATATTTAAATTCTCTAAAACAGTTTGCTTTATACTAAGATCAAAGTAAAATAGATAGATTTGGTACAATAAAAGTGACCACTTGGATTGTTATAACAGGGAGCACGTGACAGTGAGAATTGTATATAAATCTAAATTGATAATGTTT